GCGGTGGTGCTGCTGCCTCTGCCCGGGTGGAGCAGCTGCCTTATCTCACTGGCCTCTGGCCTGGTCTTGGTCAGCAGATTCCTCGGGATACAGAGCTGGGGGCAGACCTCGGGCTCTGAACCATGGGACAGACAGCACCCAGGTCATCCAGGGTTGGAGAGAGACATGCGTGTGAACATGCCGGGCCTCTTAGTCCTCAGCATCTGTCTGTGGTCTGTGACACAGCACAGCCCTACATGGTCTTGGGGCCAGTCAGGGTTGTTCCCAGAGGCCCAGGCAGGAAGCAGAGACACTGGGTGGTTGGGACTGTGGCTGCTGCCCCCTGGTGGCCATGTCCCAACAGCACACTAAGGGCGCGTCATGGCCTTGGAGAATCCCACCAGGGATGGCCCAGGAGAGAGGCCCCTGCCCTTTCCCAGCTCTGTGAACTGAGGCACAGTGGCACCTGTGGACAGAGGGGTACATGGGATTCAGCAGGGCAGAGTTTAGCTCCCGGGTCTAAAACTCTAGGACTGTGATGGGAGGAGACCATAAGGAACCTTGGCCTCCCTCTGGCATCTCCCTCCTGTGACTCACACCAGGCCCAAGGTAGCCTCAGATTGTGCTGGGGTCTCTGAAGTCTCCTGGGAGCAGCCCCAAGGCACGAGGGACTGCACCAGGCCATGGGACCACCCACTTCCTGTGCAGCTCTTGGTGAGGACCTGGACCCCACCCTTGGGCTGGGGCTGTGCCTAGACAGGAAGCTGAGTGGGGCGAGCAGAGAAGGAAGACGGGTCCCTCACAAAAAATACTTCTCAAATATTACTTGATTTGGGTCAAGCCCTAGACAAGATCCTACAGAAGACATAGTGGGGCTGAGCCATAAAGGGGTCCTAAATGACAACCTTAGTGGAAGTTCAGCCCCAAGGGATGCAGCTCCCAGCACTACAGACCCAGGATGTGGAGTCTGCATGGCCTTGTGCTGAGAGCCAGGAGGGCGTAGGGGATGTCCCCACTGCTCAGAGGAGAACACATCCCCGTACAGAAAGGACAGCCATGGGCCTGCCATGACCCCAGGGCTGCTGGGTCCCTCTCCTCCCTCGCCTTCTCCCACTCCCAGAGTGAATCTAAGAACGGCTAAGAACGGCTGTCACCTTCCGGGACCCATGGGTGACCTGTGGTGATTCCGCCCCTGCCTCTGTCTCTGGATCCCAGCTCTTGCTTTGTCCAGGGACGCCTGACCTCCTCTGAGAGCCACTCCCTGGCACCATGCCCTCTGATACCCACCAGACTCCAGCCTGGAGCCCACTCACCCTTCCGGTGACACTTCCTGTCTGCAGCAGCCCTCTCAGCCTGCAGTCTCATGGACCTCACCCCACCCCACCATCTGCTTCTCCTCCCAGGCCTCTTTCTGGGGCTCGAGTGTGGGCAGAGGAGGGGGATGGGAGGGCAGGCGGTGGAGAATAGGCTGGGAGAGAGAAAGGGCAAGGTGGGCATGGTATGGCTGTGCCAGCCGTAGCTGCCTGGTGGCTCTAAGGTCTAAACCAGACCTTAGACTGGTGAAATCATGGCATAGAAGCCTTCCTCACTGTTTTTTTGTTTGTTTGTTTGTTGAGACAGGGTCTCACTACACAGTTGAGACTGACCTGGAACTCACTGTGTAGCCCAGGCTGGTCTCGAACTCACAGCGATCCTCCTGCCTCAGCCTCCCGAGTGCTGGGATTACAGGCGTGAGCCACCACGCTCGGCCTCATTGTTTTAATGACGTTTTATTTTGTATATTGAGATAGGGTCTCATTACGTAGTTCTGACTGGCCTTGAACTCGCTATGTACCCCAGGGTGACTTCAAACTTGAGGTGATCTTCCTGCCTCAGCCTCTTGAGTGCTGGGATCAAAGGTGTGCACCACCAGCCCAGCTTATTACACATTTTAATTGTGAGAACATAACACGTGAACTGAAAAGTACATAAGACATAGGTGCAAATCCACAGACACTTGTACACAGATGTTCACAGCAGCCTGATTCATTATTGCCCAGAAGTGGGGATGGGCTCGGGGCATCACCCTGTCCAGACCCAGCACCGCACAAACAAGAAGAAAAGTGGAGACCAGGCAGGTGTCCGGCAGGTGATCGTAATCTAGGTGTGGTCTGACCACACAACAGTAGCAGTCAGTCGTGGTGGTCACCACATGCAAGGTCTGTGCTGCCCTACTCCTGTGCTGTGGGCCCTGGGCTTTCCCCGGGTCCTCGGTGGCTGAGAGGTGTGGCCCTCAGTGGCGCCCTGTCTCCTCCCACCTGCTGCTACTCTCAGGGTGATGTGCAGGAAGAGTGCTTGCTGGGCAAGGCTAACCACTGCCCTTTCCTTGCCTCCTCCCATGGAGGACAGCAAGACTTGTGTCCTCTCTAAGGACACTAATCCCACATGGGAGGCTCTCCCTGCTGACCTCTCAACCCCGCCACTGATCGCCACGGCACTAGGGTCAGGGTTCCCACACCGGACTCAGGACAGTCAGTCCATGACAGAGGCACAAGAATTACATCTCAATCGACCGTCACGGAGACAACGGGGGAACGCTGAGTTCGCAACAGGTCACCAAGTGGCTGTTGCTGGTGTGACAACAGGGACACAACAGGAGGGGGAAGAAGCCAGGCATCACAGGATGCACAACTGCATGCCGGGCCACCCCCGCGGTGACGTTCCTGATAAGTTCTGGGCACAAGTCCTGCAAGACAGCACCAGCCAGGAACCAAGTCAGGAGTATCGACAGAGGCTTCTGGGAGGACACAACTGCTTCCTCTCGGTGACAAAGTACGGAAAAGTAAAAATGAATCAAGCTGAACCTTTGGAGAGCTCAACTCTCTTCCCTTCGGGCTTGAGGACCAAGGACTGACTTCTCTCAGGAAATGTAAAAGGACTGGGGGTTCGATCCCCGATACCAAAATAAATAAATTAAATTAAATTAAAGGACTGGGCTGGACCTGCCTGCCCTGGGCAGACTGAGTGTAGGCAGCTGCCTGGTGCTCTTGTGGATGCAGACAGAAGAGGCCTGGGTAGCGGCCAGCTGAGTCAGTTCAGAGCCTCTCCTGGAGGAGAGATGGCAGGACCACCCCAGCAGGTGGGAGGAAGAGCTCACAGGAGGGACACCGGCAGGAGACAGGGTGAGCCTGCTGCTCCGTGCTCCCACAGGAGAACAAACTCAGGACACAAGAAGGACCAAGGCTCACGCAGCGTGCAGCAAAACACACACAAGCACATGTCGGATGAGCTCCTAAGGACCTCCGCCTGCTTCGGGACGGACATGGCTGGGCAGGAGCCCACTCTGTGTACCTGCACCTGTTTGTGGGGGTTCTCTGCTGAAAACTGCTCAGTCCCAGCCTCCCTTTCTTCTGGTCCAACCTTGCCTGGTAGGGACTGTGGCTCCCTTCGGGTTCCTGCAGAAGTTCTAGGAAGAAGCCTGCTGGACCCACAGCTTCCTGAAGACCTGGCCTCTGTTCTCCATGGACCTAGATCCAGGTTCCAGAAGGAGCGGGAGCTGGCATGGGCTCCACTCGTGTTGCCTTGGAGGTATCAGAGCCGAGAGGTCCCCCACAGCTGGCCTCCTGTGGCCCGCAGATGCCACCACCTCCATCTTCTCCGCTCTGCAGCCCCCGTGTCCAGGTCCCCACACTATCACCGATGGCTTCAAGCAAGAAGACCCCTTCTCCTACCCCTGTCCTGATGGCTGCCCCTCCCCATGGGAACCATTGCCCTGGCCTTAGGAGGTTTGCAGAGTGAAGCTCTGATCCTCCTCTTGTCCACCAAGGACTCAGCCCAGCAAGGAGGCACCTGGGTCAGCTTTGACATCTGCATTTGTTTTTCCTTAAACTTTTTAAATTTTTATTTATTTATTTATTTTTTTGGTGTAGGGATCAAACTCGGGACCTTGCCCTTGCAAGACAGACGGCAGAACGACTGAGCTAAGTCCCTGGCCCTACATTTGTTCTTTTTGTTGTTTTGGGTTTTTTTTTCATTGAGTTTATTGGTACATTTAAGCTAAGCAATATAGTTACATTCATCACTGGAATCTTGTACCTTTAAGTGATGTAACTTGGTTCTTGCATTTGTTTTTTTGGTGCTGGGGATCAAACTCACATCCTTGCACTTATGATGCAGGTGGCAGCACTACTGAGCTAAATCCCTGGCACTTTGCATTTGTTTTTTTTGGGGGGGTTGTTTTTTGTTTTGGGGTTTTTTTTGGGGGGGTTGAGACAGAGTCTCACTGAGTAGTTGAGACTGACCTGGACCTCACTATGTAGCCCAGGCTGGTCTTGAACTCACAGCGATCCTCCTGCCTCAGCCTCCAGAGTGCTGGGATTACAGGTGGGTGCCACCAGGCCCAGCTTCCTTGCATTTGTCTTTAATGGTGAAAGCAATTTAAGAAGGAAAGCAATCTCGGGATGGGGGCGTGGCCGGCTCCTCTGGTGGGAAGAATTAGCAAGGTGGATGGAAGAGAGCCCACACCAAGGCTGGGTACCCTACCCTCCCTTTGCCACCCTCACCATGAACCTGTGCCATCCTCCCAAGCGCAGCTGTCTGTCTGTCCATCCTTCCACTCAGCAGCCTGCAATGCCCCCACCCTGGTGGAACTGGTTCCCTCTCCTCAGCTGCTCCGGGGCCCAGCTCTGACCCCTCACCCAGGAGAATCTCCCCGGACTGGCCCTGGTCTCCCCAGGATGTGCTGTCAGCTGCCCTGGGAGCATCAGGCGATGGCAAAAGTGGGTGACACCGCCCCGCCCGTCCTCGCTCTCACTGGGCTCTGTGCGCCCTGAGGTCTCTGTCACCTCCGGGCAGCTCCCCTGCCGCCCACCAGCCAAGCCCCGAGTCTGGCACCACTAAGGCCTGCTGTCGTCGCCCCCCTCTACTCGCCCCTTGCAGGGCCCAGGCCTGCTGCCTGCGTCCAAAGCCCCGTTCAGACCTCTCTGAGCCTCCCCCTTCCTGCTCCAGTCGGCTCCTTCTTTCTTTTTCCCTTCGTCCCTCACCTCTGTGGTCAGCTCTCAGGATGGTATCTTGCCAGGCTCGTCCACTGCAGCGTCCACAGCAGCTGTGCAGGGCGGAGGGGTCAGCATGACAGACACAGACACCGTGCTTGTCCGGGAAGTCCTCTCGGAGACAGACCAGTCCCAGTGTCACCGGCCCCGTCCACCGCAGCACCATCCTTTGCGTCAGGGCCTTGCCTTAGCCCCCTGTGTCCTGGGAGACAGCTGAGGTCTGCAGTCCTCGCTCTGGTTGGTGCGAGGAGGCGTGCGCTGCCTGCTCACAGCCGTAGCTCAGCCTCTCCCCAGCCCGGGTAGCCCAGGTGACCCTCCACTTGCTGCAGAGCACACAAATTGCCTGTTTTTAGCATTAAGGCAAAGGCCAAGGCCATGAAGTGTCCTCCTCCAGTCTCCCAGGACCTCAGACTGCACCCTGGAGACCACAGTCTCCTGGGGTTCAAACCTCGGTGAGGGGTCCCTCGGGGCACCTCTTGGCCGGTTTATGGAAGGTGAGGTTATCTTGAAGACACAACTTGGTCTTCTTGCGTTGGCCCGGATTGTTTAATGCAAGCACAGCAGGTGGTGACTGTGCAGCATTCTAGGTTTGCTGGGAATCCCACAAGCAGTCTGGGATGGGGCTTTCAAGGCATCGGGGCCAGGGAGCTGAGCCAGGAATTCACCACTAGGCTTTGCCTTTAGTAACTGTGGGCTCCCTGAGGTCCTCAAAACACCACAAGTTTTCTGGGCCTGAAGGAAGGACAGGAAGGCTGCATCCCTCAGTACCAGGAGCCAGGGGCAAGGCTGGTTCTTTTGAGAAGGACTTGTAAGCATTAAGTCCATGAAGTCAGCCTTGGTTGCTAAAGACTGTGTGGTCAGGTCTGATTTTATGGGATCTCTCTCTCCCTCTCTCTCTCTAATTTTTTAACAGAGTCACGGTGTTGTCTTGTCCAGCCTGGCCTGACCTTGAACTCCTGGGCTCCAACAACCCTCCCACCTCAGCCTCCCAAATGACATGTGCCTCTGTGTGTGGCATTTCTAAATGACATTGTCATCAAAGCAAAGGAGAACAGTTGCTTATTGAAACTGTAAGGAGACAAAGCTTTAAGAATGTTTGATAATAGTTTTTGGATGTATCAGGCAAGGAGAAAAAGATAAATGTCTCAAACTGATTAACAAAATAATAATTTGCAGGACTTTTATGAATCACTGATAGCTTGAAAAAGAAAGGGCTTTTTATGTGCAGAAAATGGAACATCAAAGAGTCAATGTTAAAAAAGCCACAGAAGCTGACTGCAGTTTATCAGTGCATGCAGCTGTAGGAACGCTTTGCACGGCACTCTCTGCAGCCCACTCTGCTGCCCCCGCTGGCCTCTCTAGTTGGGGTTGGGCATCCCGACCCAGTCTGGCTCTGTGATCTCAGAGTCACTTGAGCAATGTCAGACGCCCTGTTGGGCTTTCGACAGTGTCCTTCCTGTCGAAGTCATACACTCTGACCCTGTTGCTCGTGATGAGGGCAATTTAGAAGCCAGGTGCAGGGGCTGCGGCTCTTTCAGCTATAAAGGAGGCTGAGGCTGGAGGATGTCTTGAGCCCGGGAATTCAAGACCAGCCTGGGTAACACAGAGAGATCTGATCTAAAGAAAAAAAGAACATTTAGGAAATGAGCACAGTAAAACAATGGCTAACTTGGATGAAAAGCCTAAAAATGGCTACACGACCATGGTTAAGGATCTAATGAGAGCTTATTATAAAAATACCACATTGCAGGTAGGCATTGCAACTCACTGAGACCCAGTTTCAAAATGAAAACATAAAAGGGCCGGGGGTGTGGCTTGGTGGCATTACCTGCCTAGGTCCAATCCCCAGTACACAGGATCAAAACAAAGCAAGAAAGTGAAGAAAAAGCCTGGTGTTACATGAGGACGCGCCCTGGACAGGCAGATGTCAGTGCATTTCCAAGACCTCAGCAGCATTTCTGGTCCCCTGACCCCACGCCTCTGCAGGAACCCAAGGGAGGCCGAATCTATCTGCTTTGGTGGATCAAACAGTCACTGGTGTCCCACCCTAACCAAAAGCACTAAATGAGCACACAATAAAGTGAAGGATCCCATCAACAGCCACCCGGGGGCAGGAGAGACCACCCGGCCTGGCCTGGCCCAGGAACCTGCTCTACCCTTAGTGTGCACACACCTGCCTGCAAGCTCCTGACCCAGCTGTGCTGTTCTGCAACACGGCACTGTCTGAGGGAAGCCTCTCTTACCCAACTTGATTTCCCATGGAGCCTATTTCCCGGTACAGGGGATAGAACCCTGGGCCTTGGCACTGAGCCACATCTCAGCCCTGAGTTATCTTTGAGTTCTCTTTGACTCACTGAGTCACCCAGGCTGGGCTCAAAATTATAATCCTCCTGCCTCAGCCTCCCAGAGAGCTGGGATTCAGGTGTGAACCTCCACACCTGGCTCCCAGTAATCTAATATCATATAAACCTAATCACTTCATCAGCCCTCTTGCAGCAAGGTGGGAACACAAATCCTCTGAGGTTTTCCAGGGGCTGTTGGGAAACGTCAAGGTCATTTTTGTAACAGATGTGGAAGAGGAATGAGCAGGTGAGGAGAAGGCGACAAGGACAGACTTCATTCACCTGCCCACATGAGGGCAAACAAAAGTCATTAGTCCTGACCCAAGAAAAGGCAGGGAGCTCCACGGGGCATGGGAAGAGTGGTCTGGCTCGTCTGACACATACAGGGGTCCGTGCGGTGGTGAGGCAGACGTGTGGGTGTCACCTGTGACCTGGCACAGAGAAGATGCTGTGCTTTGCCGTGTCATCTCTGTGCTGAGACAGCCCACCCTGTGCTATGTGTTCTGTCTGCTCCCAGGCATCGAGGCTCATGTGGGGCAGAGACAGCACCTGTACCTGCCGCCTGCTTTGTTGTGGTTTTTTGTGCCTTGTCAAACTGTAGCTTGGGATTAAAGAGCATAGTCATTAACCACTTCACGACCAGGTCTAGCCTGACAGTTTTGAGGTCAGGTCAAGAAACCTCTTTTGGGATTTTTTTGAGACAGGATCTGTCTTAGTTACTTTTCTCTCCCCAATATCTAAAGTTAAAGTGGAAAAGGTTTATTTAGCTCAGAGTTTTTAAAGGTTTCGGTCCATAACCTGCGGGCTCCAAGGCCAGAGGCAGGGCAGACAGGCATCAAAGAGGAGAAGCAAAACAGCAGGCACAAAATAGCAAAAGTAACAAGGGAGCAGTAGGGGCCTCCACAGCACCTCTCTGCCCCTTTTATCTTACAAGACCACTTAGGGCAGGGAGCATTTGCACCCTCAATCCTAGTGCTTCAGGCCTAGCACTGCGCCGTGAATCAGTCACACACTCTAGATTCAGCCACCTGTGAAAAAGCCCCTCCTAAAACTTCAGAGGCTTTGGGGGACACCCAGACACAGCCACAACAGGGTCTCATTATGTAGCCCAGAGTGGCTCATCTCTTGCCTCAGTCTCCCAGGTCTTTGGAAACTCACTGTGCCCTGCAGGAGGCTGGGGCGCCAGGGAGGAGGTGCAGGGCCGAGGGCCAGGGAGGGGCGGGGTGAGAGAGAGGGGCTCCTGCTCCCACAGCTGCTGTTGGAGTTGTACGACTACCAGAGCATCGTGGCTCTAGGGCGGCAGAGAGCAGTGGCTTCTCTGTCCCCGAGGGCCAGGGACAGGGAGACTGTTGCAAGAACTTATTTGGGGAATTTGTCAAAGACGTCAGAAGGTTCAAATGCCTAAACAGATCAGAGGTCACCATGAAATAACATTTAGTGGTATATTAACCAAGATGTCAATAGGAATTTTCAAAGGTTAATACCCGAGGTGACACGAAGTAATAGCCTACTATTACTAGTCATTTGTCAGTCCCCAGGTAGGGCAGACAAAGCAGCACAGTGAGCACAGAAAAGAGAAACCTGGGCTGCATGTGGTGGCACAATCCTGTGATCCCAGCACTCCGGGAGCTGAGGCAGGAAGACTGCCGTGAGTTTGAGGCCAACCTGGGCTATGCACTGAGTTCAAGACCAGCCTGAACTGTATAGCAAGACCTTGTCGAAAGAAAGAAAGAAAGAAGGAAAGGCAGGCTGGGGATTTAGCTCAGTGGTGCCGTTGCCTGCCTGGCAAGCACAAGGACCTGAGTTCGATCCCCAGTACCATAAAATAAAATGAAAAGAAAGAAAGTATGAAAAGAGAACCCAGAGCTCAGTTCAGAATTAACTTATCCATCCAGGAATCTCGGGAGTCATAGAATTATCAGGAAGGGGAGGCTGAAGCAGGAGGATTTCAAATTCATAACCAGGCTGGGCAAAATGTTCAGAGGGCTGAGGTGCTTGTAGCTCAGTGGGAGAGTGCTTACGCAGCAGGCTCAAAGCCTCGGTTGGTGGGGGAAAGGCTAATGAAGGGGAGGGACATTCATGGCTTTTCTCCAGATCTCTGCTGTGGTGCTTCTCCCAAAGTCTGGTGTTTTGGAGGCAGCAGAAAGGTATCTTTAGCCTTGGGACGGGCCAGCGAGGCAGGGCCAGCCTGGTCAAGTTAACCAGAGTTTTAGTGTGGCCTGTGTGAATGTTGACCCAAAGCTGAAGGCAGCAGAGGGTACAGACGCTGGGACCGGAGCCCGGTGCCTGCCTGGGCTGAGGTCCTCCTCCTGTCCCCAAGGAGAAGCCACACTCACGGGAGTGGCTCTGCCAGACTGCGGGGTCCGGTGGAGTGAGGCTGCGGGTTAGTGAGCATGGGAGTGTGCGATCCCTGCCCTGCTGCATAGGCAAAGGCGCCACCATCCCATGTGGCTGCTTCCCAAATGAGGGGGCTCACTGCACCCAGCACGCTGATACCTGGGGCACTTTGGAAACTCACCCTGCCCTGCGCTGGCTCTGCCAGGCAGGACTGAGGAGAGGAGGCTGGGGTGCTGTGGGAGCCCACTGGCATTTGACATTGGAAAAGTAACTTCTACCATTGAGGCATTGACACAATCTATGACTCTATTTGGCTTTTCTGAGATGAGGGTCTCAGCTATGCAGATGAGATTGACCTGGAGCTCTCTGTGTAATCCAGGCTAAGCTCTCTGTGTAATCCAGGCTAAACTCACTGTGTAATCCAGGCTGGGTTTATGGGATTACAGGTGTCGACCTGAAGCTCACTGTAATCCAGACTAGTTTTATGGGATTATGGGCATGCACCACCACGCCCGGCAAACAATACCACTGGACTCGTCAGGTTGAGTGGGGCCGAAACAATCTCAACCTATTCTCAAACTTTAAATGGGTAAGAAGCTCGGCTCGCTGGCGTGGAGCCGGGCCACGCAGTTTTATCCGGTAAAGCGAATGATTAGAGGTCTTGGGGCCTTCGCCTTTACATCAGCGGCCGTGATCCGGGTCTCACCTTTTCCATCAGGCTTTTGAAAGAACCACCTCAGTTCAAACCCATTGCCATTGGCCCCAACCCCCTTCTTTAAGAATGTTGCTTTATTAAAGATAAACTGGGCCTGGTGGATGATAGCATTAGAAGGGTTGAGGAAAGCCTCGAACAAAGGCAGAAGCAACGGGAAAAGGACGAATCTTGGTATCAAAATGCTGATAAATGCTTTGTCCCTTTATGGTTAAATGCTTGAGTGACTCATGTGATTGGTAGAAGATTTGTTTGAACTGTCCAATAAGCTTGCTGAACCTTCCCCCTGGGATAACAGTATATAATCGTTTTGCTGAGCCAATAAAGAGCCTTTGATAAGAAATCAGACTTGGGCCATGTGCTCTAACTTCTTAAAGATTTTCCTTCACAGACATTCAAGATCGGATCGGCCTCTGATGACCCACGAATAAGAGGCGGCTTTCACCTCCTATTCCCCGCTGGACGGGGTCCCCCCAGAGAGCCGCAGGGTGCAAGTGAGGAGAAGGAAGGGGCGGCTCACATGCGGGGCCGGGTAAGAGAGAGGGGCTCCTGCGCCCACAGCTGTTGCTGGAGTTGTACAACACCACCGTGGCTCTAGGGCGGCAGGGAGCAGTGTCTTCTCCGTCCCCGAGAGCCAGGGGCGGGCAGCCCCGCAGTCAACGGCTCCCCATCCCAGGCAGCTCTGCCAACCCCTTTCAGCCAGTAGGTAGCACCCGGTGTGGCTCGGTGAAATCATCACTGGGCCTGGCTGCCCACACCTGCACCTGGACCAGAGCCTGATCCAGTGCTCCGCCCCTGCGCCCTTGCCCTGCCCAGTCTGTGGGGTGAGGGGGAGTCTCCTGGGAACTTCCCAAAGGTGAGAGCACATCTCCCCGCAGAGCTGTCTGTGCAGACACCGCAGGCCAGGGTGAGTGTGGGCCTCCTTGGGGTCTGGGCAGCACAAGGGGCCTCAGTTACCACGGCTGCCATCCTGGCAGCACCATGCCTCGGGTTTTGGGATGACATAGGCGCTGCAGGCCCTGCCCAAGGGTACGCAGCAGGGTGACTGCCCAGAGCTGTGCCTGAGGGCCACGGGAGGACACAGGGCCACCACCTAGCACCATACCCCAAGGCAAGGCTGACCAGGCCCCCTGAGATGGGCTCTGTGGGCACTGGGGCCCAGGACAGGGCCAGCAGCCATCTGGGTGACCCGTGTCAGCTTCAGTGACAGAAACTCCTGACTTCTAGCCCGGCTGGAAAGATGATGCAGCCTCCCCTGTTTGACAATGGCATTGACTCTGTTGAGGTCTTCAAAGGCATCCGCTTCCCAGGGTTCATACACACCCAAGAGTCCCTGCGAGCAGCGTGCAGCTTCCAGTTCCAGGACACGGATGTCCTTCTTGTGACATTCCCCAAGTCAGGTGAGCGCCGGCACCCCCACAGCTGCCCTCCTGCCCAGCCGGCCTGGCCCCCCGCATCTGCTGCGCATCTCCAACCTGGCAGCCCTGCCCCAAGGCCACCTTTGCCCGAGGTCCTCTCTACGGGCACCTGCGCTGCCTGCATCTCTGTGGCTGCGGACTGTCTCTGTTTGCAGAAGGGCACCAAGGGCCTGGGGGCTGGTGTTGATGTGAGCTCAGGGACTCCCTGCAGATAGTCTGAGCACAGGCACTGGTGGACAGTCCCTCCGCCTGCGGGATGAAAGGACAGGCGCCCGGGGCAGGCCAGGGGAGCGGGAGGCTGCACCTACAGCGGCCCTGGAGACGGGCCAGCTCTGGGATGGAGTGCCGTAGAGAGCAGGCCATGCTGGGCACAGTAGCACAAGCTAGGCATTCCAGCTACACAGGAGGCCGATGCAAGAAGATTGCAAGTTCAAGTCCAGCCTGGGCAGCTCAGCAAGATGCTGTCTCAAAAGAATAAGTAAACACTGGCATGTAGTTCAGTGAAAGCCCTGGGCTAAACCCCAGGACTGAGAAAAAACAAAACACAGAGAGAGACAGAGTCAGAGACAGAGCAGCTATGGTGACACATACCAGAAGGAAAAAAAGAAAAGAAAGAGAAAGAAAGGGAAGAGGGAGGGAAGGTGCCCAAGGCCGGTGAACCAGGATTGTTGTCTGGCTGTCCCTGTTTTGTTTTTGTTTCTTCATTTGTTTGTTTGTCTGGTGCCGGGGATTGAACTTGGGACCTTGTGCTTGTGAGACAGCTGTTGGAACCACTGAGCTAAATTCCCGGCCTTCAGTTGCTCCTTTAGAAACTGTTCACCAGTTGTAAGCATTCCAGGTCCTTCTTGCCTGGAGCAAAGGACTGGACAAGCCAAGCCAAAAACGGAGCCAAAAATTTATTTAAAAAGTGCACAGTGAAGGATTAAGGGAAAACTAGTTCTATGGAGTGAATTTGGGCAGAACAAAGACTGGAAAGGATAAAAGCAGAAATGAAAGTGCAGGCTTCTATAGTGGGCTCCTCCTGGGACCTCAGCCCTTGTGTGCTGTCCAGATCTCCTGAGATGTTCCACATATGGGGTTCTGTGAACGGTGCTGTTCTGGGATTGTGTAATGGACAGGCCCGCCTGCTTCCCCATGGGCTGGAGCACCCAGTGCCCACCCCACTCACCTCCCCAGCCACGTAGCCCCCTGTGGCAGCCCTGGCCCTCAGTGCCCCCTGCCTCTGCCACACACAAGGCCTGGCCTGGTCCTGGCAAGAGAAAACCTGCTGCATCAGCAGCCTTTGGGGAGAGGCACAGTCCTGGCCGTGGCCGAGTGGCCAAAGTGGCCGTCCGCAGCTGCTACCCTGACTGAGGCAAAGGAAACCGCTTTCTCAGTAAAAAGGAGAAAGGATTTATTCAAAGCCAGCTCCAAGGAGAAAGACGGGCTGCGTCACCAGTGTCACCAGCCCCATGCTTGATGCTTCCCTAGGGAGGGGCCCCAGGCCACAGCCCTCATCCACCTGTGTTCATGACCTTGGACCTCTCCAGAGTTGACCCCAGGAAGGGGGGACTACTTAGGGGCACCGTTTCTCTCCTGCGGCCGGTTGAGTGATGGCCTGGAGGTAGTCACAGCCCAAGACCCTGGGATGTGTCCTCACGTGGCACAGGACTTGGCAGGGTGACCACCAAAGGATCTGGAACCACTGGGGACCCAGGGTCATCCAGGGTGCTCATAGGAGAGATGCAGGAAGCCCAGGGTCCCAGAGCCATGAAAGTGGGAGCAGAGGGCGGAAAAGGAAAGAAGCCACAGGCAGGGAGACCCCAGGAAGAAGCAAGGAATGGGGGCTCCAGGTCCCCTGGCCTGGAAGACACAGCCCAGCCAGCCATGTTGTCTCAAGCCGCTTGTCATGCCGGCTGCCTCCGTGGGCCCAGGAAGGCGTGTGCAGCCTCCAGGCCTCCCCCAGCCACCCACAGCCCTGTGGGGACAGAGGCCAAAGCAGGCGTTGCTCTTAGAGCTGCTGGGAAGTTCCATTCCTGCGGCCGTGCCTCGTCAGCAGCGGCAGAGCCGTGTCCTGACTCCACCGCCTGGGTCCCGCCGTTCACACGGGACGCGGATGCCTAGCAGGCAGCACCCCCCTCTCCCTGTGAGAGGGCCTGTGAGTCTCAGCCTCCCCGTGCTTGCGCGCCTCCCCATTCCTTCTTTTTTTTTTATATAGCAAAGCACTCATCGGTACAGGTACACGCATCGTAGAGAATCTGCACCTGGACGTGGTGCATCCCTCTCCTTTTCCCATCCCCACCCCTCAAACCCTCCCCCTCCCTACGTACAAAAGCTTTGCTTCCATTTTTTCCTTTTACTTTTTTCTCTTGTCCCGTCCTTCCTCTGAGCAACTCCTTATTTTGCACCTGGTCCTACCATTCCTTATGAGGCCCACGTGCATAAATCTCCTTTCCTTTTGCACAGTGCAATCGTACCACACACAGCCTCCTTTGTCTGTGATTTTGGTTACCCACAGTCACCACAGTCCAAAAACTAAGAGAAAGACTCCAGAAATAACTCATAAGTTGTCAGTCGCATGCTATTAATCTCAGGCTGTCCCAGCCAGGCGCGAACCTTGTCCAGAGCATCTCCGCTGCACCAGCGCCTGCTGTTAGCCACAGGCCACGCGCTGTCACCTGCTTGTGACAGGAAACCTTCATTTCACCTACCAGCAAGGCCCTAGATTGAGATGCTGCCAGCCAGCGTGGGACAGGGAGAAGCCACCAAGTTCTTCCTTTCGGTGTACAGGTGCAAGTTCTAAATAACAAAATTGTGTTCCGAGGTTGCTAAGATTCAAGGTTACAGAGAGTCTGTTTTGTTTTGCTTTGCGGAGGTGGGGATGGACCCCAGGGCTCACACACACAGGCTCTCCCCATGAGCTGCATGCCCAACTCTTTATTATTCTGAGGCAGGTTCACTCCAAGCTGCCTAGACTAGACTCAAACCTGCAGTCCTCCTGCCTCGTCTTCTGAGTAACTCAGACCGCAAGTGAGTGCTGCCACGTGCAGCAGAATGAGTCTTTTATCCATGAAATTGTGAAGGAGGAAAAGAAATTTATGCTAATTTTGCTTCTGCACCTCAAAATGCAACAGTCGTGGCCACAGGCGCACGTGGGGCTTGGTTAGGGTGGAGGCCACACTCAGCTGTTCGAGGAGGAAGGGAACCGGCGGGCTGCTCTGGAGACGCGTGGACGGCTCAGAACACACGGAGCCTGGGGGGCTGTGGCAAGGGGTCCCGAGGACTGGGACCTACGCCACAGTGGCTGTGGAGAGGCCATGACCACCGGACGCCTCCCGCGTGGTGGGGTTGCTGCAAGGCGCGGCTGCCAGGACGCTTTCTGGTTTGTGGTAACACTTGCCTCCAGCCTCACCCAGTTTTAAGGTCCTGAGGGCTCCTCCCCAGCCATGGTCCTTTGGGCTGGGGAGCAGCTTCTACACAGGGGGCCAATGTCCATCACTTTCCCGTACTCCAACAAATACCCAATCGCCTGGCAAAGCAAAGAGGAGGGTCCATTTGGGCCCTCAGTCTGGAGGCTGCTTTTCAGGACACACACAAGGGCAAACCTGCTCACCTCAGCCAGGAGGTGAGAAACACAAAGGAGAGACGGGTCCTGTTGTCCAGGTCCTGTTGTCCAGGTCCTGTTGAAGGGTGAAGGGGTAAAGGAAAAACTGGTTCTGTAGAGCGCACTGGCCAAAGAGAGGAAACGATAAAAGCAAAAATAAAAGTGCAGGCTTTTATAATGGGCACCTTCTGGGCTCCCCCCGCCAGCTCCTCCTGAGGGCACCCACGCACAACCTGAGGGAGTAGCTGCTTCTTTTTATTTACTCTTGCAGTATTAGGGATTGAACCCAGGGAGCTCTACCACTGAGCTTTATCCTCAGTGCTTTTTTTTTTCCTCAGCGCTTTTTCTATTTTATTTTGAGACAGCCTCGCTGTGTTGTCCAGGCTGGTCTGGAACTTGTGATCCTCCTGCCTTAGCTTCCCCGGTAGTAAGGATCACAGTGTGTGCCACCATATCCGGCAGTCCCGCCTCCAAAAGCGTCCCCTTCCCTCAGCAGCAAGCTAGGGACCAACCTGCAACACAGGAGCCCCTGTAGGGGCGGCACAGATCCAACTGCAGTGCTGAGCGCGTCTCCCGCTGCGGCCTATGCTTCTCTACACGAGCGGGCCAGGTGAGACTCAGAGACAGTCCACACTCACGTTGTGCAAGAATTTGCCTATTTTTCCTTCCATGACTTCCACACGCCCCTCCTTGTCTCAGAGCTTATCTGTGTGTGTGCTGTGAGTTCTACCTGATGTCACCTTTGGCCACCTGTGGTTCCTGAGGGGCCGTCTCTGTCCCATGCTCTGAGCTGGGCTTCTTTGCCCTGAGCTGTGCCTGCTGCAGGGCTCCAGGGCTTCACCCTCAATGACTGCACCCCCAGTTTTTTCCCCGGTCCACGTTTCCCTGACTGGTTGTGTGCCTGTGTTTCTGCAATGTCATATCAAATTATCTAACTCCATAAAGAAATGTGCTGAAGCGAGGTGTGGTGGCACACCCCTATCGTACTTGGCAGGCTGAGGCAAGAGGATCACAGGTCCCAGCCCAGCCTGGGCAACTTAGATGCTGGCTCAAAACATAAAAAGGCCTGGTGGTGAGATTCTGAGCTAGAGCACTTGTCTCACACATGCAAAGCCTTGGGCTCAACTCTTGATACAAAATTAAAACAACAATGACAAAAAAGAAAAGAGAAGGCCAGGGATTTAGCTCAGTGGCACCACGCCTGCCTCACAAGTGCAAGGTTGTGAGTTCAATGCCCAATTCCAAAAAACAAACAAAACCCCAGCAACTGTTGGTGAAGAGCGGTGCAGACCAGTGGGCAGGTGGTGCCGGAAACAGCACCCTCCGTGGGGCTCAAGGAGCCCTGTGCCTCCTCTCCCCACCCCAGGGACCACATGGATGCAGCAGGTGCTGAGTCTCGTCTTCTGCGAGGGCCACCTCGGGTCCATCCACCACGTCCCCAACTGGGAGCGCATGCCCTGGCTGGAGCAGATCTTCTTTGGAAAACTGTGCAGCAGCCTGAACCCTGGCCAACCTCGCCTGCTCACCTCCCACCTGCCCGCTGAGGCCCTCGGGCCTGTGCTCCAGCACTCCAAGGCCCGGGTAAGGGGTGGCCCTGTGGTGCTGGAGGACACAGGCGTGGGGCATGGGTGGGCAGGAACGTGTGGGCAGCAGCTGGCATGCTGGAGCCTCTGCCTTTGTCTCTAGGCTCAGGCTGGCACTTGGAGGTGGGGCGGGCAGTCGGTCCATGCATGGACCGGGTGGGCCTGCTGCCATCCACCTTGGCCTGTGGATGGCTCTGGGGAGCAAGGGGAGGAGGGAGCCCTGGCAGGCTGCTGCTGGCTGAGAGGGTGACAGGGTGCGGCCAGCCCTCCTGAGTCACTGGGGATGACTTGGGTGGGAGTCCTACCTGCTCTCATCAGGGTGCTGGGGGTGCCCATGTCCCATCCACACCTGCACCCAGTCCCCCACAGTGTGGCCCAGGCCTCTGTCCGCCCAGCAGCCAGGGCAGGGCTCTCCCTAGAGCTGGGGTCAGAGGTCCCAGGTCTCCCTTCCAGGTGGTGTATATGGCACGGAACCCCAAGGATGTGCTCGTCTCCTTCTACCACTTCCACAAATTGGTCAACTTCCTGCCCGACCCCAGCTCCTTCGAGGACTTTGTGGATGAGTTTCTCAAGGGCACAGGTGGGTCTTGGGGACCTCAGTGACCCCAGGGGCCCCCATCTCCTTGCCGCTGGCCAGTGAGGCAGTATATTGATCAGCTGTCCTGTCACTGGGACAAAATACTTGACATCCACAACTTCGAGGAAAAGAGGTTTACTGGGCTCATGTTTGGGGTGATTCCGTCCACGGTCAGCTCCAAGGCTGAAGGGTCCAGTGGAAGACAGCTGCTCACCTGATGGCAGCCAGGTTACAGAGAGGGGAAGGAGTGGGACAAGAATACAACCTTCCAGTTCACACCCCAGTGACCACTTCCAGCCACGAATGCAGAATCCACCAGGCCTAGCACCCCATGATCTGGTTGCCCCCCACCCCATAAACAAGAGGCTTCCTGGTCAGTTTCCATGTAAACCGCACCCAGCAGCCTCCTCAGAGCCTGGCCAGCACCTTCTCCCCCATCTCTCCTCCCAGGCTTCTTTGGCTCCTGGTTCGAGCACGTGAAGGGGTGGCTGGGCCTGCAGCAGGACCTGAACATGCTGTTTGTCACGTACGAGGAGCTGTACCAGGTGGGAGCCCTCTGCTAGCCGTTAAAGCCCTTGATCCTCCCGATGAGCCCCAAGAAGCATCTTTATTTCTTAATAGATTCAGTCTGTCTGCTCTCCTCCCTCAAGCTCCTACACTCAACCAACAAATGCACGGGGCTTCCTGTTGCTGGGCCAGAGAACAGCATGTTTGATGCCAAGGGACTGAGAGTTCCTGGCACAACTCCAGCGCCATGTGTGAGCACCCGGCAAGGTTTCCGCTCGGAACAAGTGGAAAGGATTCTTTTTTTCTGAGGCAGTGTCTCATTAAGTTTCCCAGGCTGGCCTTGAACTTACAATCCTCCCGCAGCCTCCAAATTAGCAGAGATTACAGGTGTATGCCCTCAGGCCTAGGTCTGAAGCTGGAACCTAGGACCTTGTGCACTCTAAGACTACCACTGAGCTGCATCCCTAGTGCAGTTTATTTTTTTAACATATATATATTTTCTGGTACCGGGGATCGAACTCAGGACTTTGCACTTGTGAGGCAAATGCGGTGCCACTGAGCTAAATCCCTGGCCCTATTCTTCAGTTTGAGATAGTGTCTCATAGAGTTGCCCAGTCTGGGCTCAAACTCCTGTATTCAAGCAATCCTCCTTCAGCCTCCTGAGTAGCTGGGATTACAGGTGTGTGCCAATGTGCTGCTTTTGGAAGTGATTGAAAACATATTAAGAAAAGGATCCAGGCACAATGGTGGCTGTCTATAAACCCAGGTACTCCAGCAGGATTACTTGAGTCCGGGAGTTCATATTCAGCCTGGACAACATGGAGACACTGTCTCAAATGAAAAATAAAGCAGAATGACTCCCAAAAGACTGGACTCTCAAATGCCAAAAGCCTCCTCCATGTGTGTTTAGGTGCACTGGGTTTTAGGTCTTGATCTGCACCCGTATATGCCTGTATCTATAGCAGGACAGTGGTCAGGGTGGCTACAGACAGCTCCACTGCAGTCAAGTGCAAGTTTTTCCAGAAAAATTTAAAACTCAGTTTCCAAAGCTTTTGAATTTAGGAAGGGGATTAGGATCTATGACTGAATTCTATAAAATATGAGATCTTTGAATGACAAATACATACTTTCTTTAACACAAAATTATTAATTCCATAGGTTTTGTGCCTCAGAAGTTTTTGGGGGGTGGTTTTTCGAGACAGAGTCTCGCTGTGTCCTTGAACTCACCATGTACCCCAAGCTGGCCTAGAATCCATGGTGATCCTCCTGCCTCAGCCTCTCAGTTGCTGGGATTACAGGCATGAGCCACCCTGCCTGGCTGTCAGATTTTTTCCCCAGAATTCTTACACTGCTTTCAGTCCTTTGGAATTAGAGACGGTGCTGGCCCCGGTTCGTATGTGTGGTACAGTGGACACCTGGAAGCTGCTCCTGTCCTCATCAGGCTTTTTGCTCTGGGCCTTGACATCAGGATCTCTCTTGGCCACTGGTGCATCCCCAGCACCTGGAGTAGTGCATGGCATGAAGTGGAAACTCGGAAAACGTGTGGCATGAAGGACAGACAGACGCTTGCCCAGACAGAATGACTGAGGAGCTGGGTAGCCTGGGGCCTCCTTCCCACAGCTGGGAGGCGAGGTCCAGAGACTTCGCCTGGGGTCTAACTGGTGACCAGAGGTTGGAGGACAAGAGTAGCATTGACAGCAGCTCCATGAGATGTGTTCTGCCGCTCTGGGGCCAACCGGCCCTGGCCACGCCCCTCAGCTGATCAGGTCTGGGGAAGGTGACAGCCCTGGCCCTAGTTCACCTCTACCCACCCATCACCCGCTCATCTGCTATCGTTCACCGGCCTCTGTCCCTCCATCCTCTCTGCCCACCTATCCCTGTCCCTGTGTCCACCCGTACCTGTGCCCACACGTCTGTGTGTCCACCCATCCCCATGTCTACCTGTGTGTCCACCAGTCCCTGAGTCCACCCTTCCTCCTGTCCACCTTTCTGGCCTTTGTCTTCTTTGCTTTTGTACAGCGGAGCTCGTAATGCACCGCTTTACAGCCTGCTCTTTTCACTTCATATCTCATGGCACTGTTTTTCCCACAAAATTTTAGTGGCTCAGTAATATTTTCTGATACCAATATATATATTTTTTTTGAGACAGGGTCTCACTATGTAGTTCAGACTTCTTTGGACCTCACTATGTAGCCCAGGCTGGTCTCGCACTCACAGCGATCCTCCTGCCTCAGCCTCCCGAGTGCTGGGATTCTAGGCATGTGCCACCACACCTGGTTTATATACTTTAAATAAATCCTTTTCATTATTGGATATTTGTTTGTTCTTTCCCCCCTGTACTGGTGACTAAACCGAGGGGCTCCACACTTAGCTGAACCTCCAACCCATTTTCAAAGTTTTTATATTGATAAGGCCTTGCTAAACCAATAAATTGCCTTATTTGGCCTTGAATTTGTAATCCTTCTGACTCAGCCTCCTAGAGTACTGGGGTTATAGGCATGTGCTACCATGACTGACTGACATTTGTGTTTTTCCTATTTCTTGTGATAAGAAGCCACGCAAGGTTGGACAGCCTTGTCCACTTAGCATGCTCCATCTCCTGAAGCTCTGCCCTCTCCCCCCTGGTGCAGGAGCCCCGGGCCACACTGCAGAAGCTTGGTGACTTCCTTGGGCGCCCACTAGGCCCTGAAAAGGAAGACTCCATCCTGGAGCAATGCACCTTCTCCTTCATGAGCCAGAGCAGCGGGGTCAACTACAGCCAGGTGCCCACGACGGTGATGGACCCCAGCCGGGGTCTCTTCATGCGGAAAGGTACCAGGCGCCACCCACACCTCCCCATGCACCAGGGCTGCGCCTGGACCCACTACCCTGGGTGCCCCTGCCTCTGAGCACCCCAAGTTCCCACGGATTCTGCCTGGGGCAACACCTCTCGAGCCTGGGGTAAACTGAAGAGGAGATGCCCCAAGCCATGCACAGCTGACCCAGCCTTGGGCTTCCCCTTGGTGGTGGCTGCCCTGGGCAGGATCCCCTCTGCCCCAGACCATAGCTCTGCCTCTGCCCCCAGTGACTCCGAGGGCCCTGGCCCACTCTCTTCCTCTGCTTTCCCAGGAAGCTGCCTGTCAAGTCCCCAGGGTCCAGGCTCTGAAATCACCCTGTCGACTGTAAATCTCTGCCCACGTGGTCTGAGATTCAGCATAATGGCCTGAATGGCCCATAGAGGAGGAATAGAGGAAGTCACTTGTGCAAAGATAGCATGCCACAGTGCATTGGCATATGCCTGTCATCTGAACACTTGGGAGGCTGGGGAAGAATTGCCACAAGTTCAAGCCAGCTTGGAGTACATAGCAAGACCCGAGAGAGAGAGAGAGAGAGAGAGAGAGAGAGAAGAGGATATTCTAGTTTGAGAACTATAGCACTCCGAGAGAGAGAGAGAGAGAGAGAGAGAGAGAGAGAGAGAGAGAGAGAGAGAGAGAAGAGGATATGCTGGGGATTTAGCTCAGTGGTGCTGTGCCTGCCTTGCAAGCACAAGGTCCTGAGTTTGATCCCCAGTATCACCAAAAAAAGAAAAAAGGAAGTGTACAACACATGGCTGCATCCTCAGTGGCAGGTGCCAACCCGCATGGCAAAGGGTGAGCTGCTTCTAGAAAAGTTCTGAACAAAATGAAGCCTCATGCTGGGTTCACAGGGCTGCTGGCCTCTCGGGAGACGCGCTATCCACACACGCCCCGTGTACTTCGAGGGGTCCGTGGGACCTGTGGGAGCTGGGTGGGAGATTTACCTGTCCTGTGTTGGCTTGGGGTTTGGACACTGCGGCTCCTAGCTTAATACCTACGGCCCTGTCACCACAGCTCCTGAAAACATCCCGGCAATGCCTCTTTCCCTGTGGGTCCCTGGTGGGACCAGGCTTGGTCTGTCTTGATGGACCGGGCTTTGTCGTCCAAGCCCCTTGAAGCCTCCTGTGTGCAGCATCCTGGGCCCTCAGCTCCTCCGTTCCTCCACAGGCAAATGCACCATGGTTTCCAGGGCTGCTGCACAACCGTGGCCCACATCCAGACTGCAATCTAGGGTACCTTAGGGCTGAGCCCGAGGGCTGAGCTCGCTCTGGGACTGGCTCCTTCTGGCCTCCCCAGCTGTAGCTGGGACTCCTGGGCTGGCGGAGGCCTTGCTCATCTCTGTCCCCACCCACTGCACTGCCTCTCTCTGACAGGGACAGTGGGGCTGACTCACCATCTCTCCCAGGCACCTGGGGTTGGGGTCGGCCATGTTGTCCCCTGAGCCGCCCCTACCCCGTCTCTCCCCAGGTGTCATGGGGGACTGGAAGAAGCACTTCTCTCCAGAGCAGAACGAGACATTCAATGCCGTCTACCAGGCCAAGATGGGCAACTCGGGCCTCCAACTCCCCTGGACCATGGACTGAGCCCAGCCGCCCCGCAGCTTGCCCTGCCCAGCTCTTGAACAGCTTGGCTGTGGTGGCCCCTCTGGCAGTAAATGCAGAGGGTCGAGGAGCTTGGCTGGGAGGCTGGCGTGGCTAGCGGCAGTCTAACCCCCCGCTGTGCTTCCCATCGTACCCCAGTGGACCAGGACAGTTGCTTCAGTGCCAGGCTGATCAGTGGCATCCTCCCTGGCTCTCCCTCTGCTGCTCCCCACACCAACATGAGTGCAGCCAGGCGGGCAGTGTGTCTCCCTCGCCCACGTCCTCACTTCAGATGATGCTGTTACCTTGTGAAGAGCAAAGAGCACCTGCAGTGGCTATGACTGGGATCTGGGCCCCTTATTTGCATATAAAATTTCAAGCGTGCTTCCCGCTTTCAGCCCCAACCCAGCCTGGAGCTGCTGTGTAAGCAGTGCTCCTTTCCCGGCCACTGCTCGGGTTGGGTTATCAGGATTCCCTCTGCATACTGACTCAGGCTCCAACACAAGCCCTGCTACAATAAAGATTCGCTTTGATGGTCCTGTGAAACTGCTCGTGATCTGTTTCTCAGATAGTGTACATCTTAGTTACTTTCCCGTCACTGAAACACAGCACCTGACACCCACAGTTTGAAGGAGGAGAACTTTGTTTTGGCTCACCTTTTGTGGGGGTTTCAGTTTGTAGTTGGCTGGCTCCAAGGCAGGGCAGCATGGCAGAGCAGAAACAGTTCATGTCCAGGCTGGCCGGAAGAAGAGCCATCAAGGGAGGAGGAGGGATGTGAATATACACCCTTCTGGGCCACCTACGTCTTTCTGCTATGCTTCATTACACCAGCTCTGAAACCCAGTATCACATAGTCATCCAAGTCACTCCAGTCACTCCCCAAGGCCCTGTGTATGAGTGCATGAGGCTTTGGGGGGACATCTAGATATAAAAAATAACATGAGTGTTCCAAAAATCCTGTAAATCTGCTGTTTTTTGGACCTGTGATGGATCGGGGGACCTCTCGCTCAAGAGGCAGGTGGCAGAACCACTGAGCTAAGCTCCCAGCCCCTGTTTGGGATTATTTTTAATCCTGAGCAGCGAGGACAAAGCAATTTCCAAAGAAAGAGTGTAGAAAACAAAAATCGTCTGGGGATTTAGCTCGGTGGCGTCACATCTGCCTCGTAAGCACAGGGTTCCGAGTTCAATCCCGGGTACAATAAAAAAAAAAAAGAAAAAAACAACAAAAAAAGGAAGAAAACAAAGTGCCTCCAGGAAGATGACAGAGTGGTAAATGGTAGAGAAACAGCCCCTCCAAGATTTGGTGTCCAGACACAAATACAGCAGCATGAGGAAGAGAAGAAAGAACGCAGTGGGGCCCTAGGACCCATCCAGGATCTGAAGCAAGAATCGAAGCCCATGAGGAGAGTGAAGAGAGACTTCAATAGAGAACAAGGAGGTGGCCAGTGCTTTCTCCCTGAGCCCTGACTTGCTGTGTGGGAGGGATGGCTTAAGCCCGTAGGCACACAGTGACTACTGGTGACCCCAGAGATCTGCATGGAGAAATGCACTAGTGGAATGGAGCAGTGAACACAGCAGACTAAAGTAGCTGAGTTATTTGGGCTCAAATGTCCTCTGGGAGAGGGCAAGAGGCTCTTTGCCATCTTGGAAAGAGGCCAACTGATCTCAGAACTCAGAGCAATGTGGGAACTCCATCTAGAAACTCTCAGTCTCAAGGTGAGGCAGAATCAAATGCAAGTTGGCAGAAGGTCAAGAAGCCAAGTTCAAGCCGGCAGGAGGCACAGGGAGTGTTGCAGGTTGAATAAACTGGGTTCCAGCCTCACAGCCAGAAAACCAGCCTGTACTTCAGTGGAACTAAGGGTGCAGGCTTGCTGGGATTATCCACGTGGATCTGGGCTCTGCCAGGGCAGAGACATGCCCTAAAGTGGATTTTTGTTGTTGTTGTTCTTTTCTTGATTTTGCTTTTCTTGTCGCTGTTGTTGTTTTTATTGGGAATTGAACTCAGGACCTTATGCTTGCCAGGCAGGTGAGGCACCATAGAGCTAGACCCCCAGCTCCTTTTCTTGTTTGTGTTTTGTTTTCTTTTTTCTTGATTGTCTGTTATTGTTTTTATGAGCGCGAACATTGTTTCTACTTTTCTTATTGCCTGTTCTTCTTTTTTATTTCTATCTCTTTCCCTTCTTCTTCACCAGTTTCACAAAGTTCTCATAGTCTTGCTTTGTCCTCCAGCCTTGCTTCTAATCTCTTCTTCTATTTCTCTATTTCCCCCCAACCGCTTAAATTTTCTCCCCAAGGGTAAAATCACCATATCAAGGGCATATTTACTGTATATAACTTTCTGGTTTGTTTTAGATTTTGTTATATATAACGGCAAATATAGTTCATATGTTTAAAGGTGGCAAATTAATACTTACCGCAGTTTGTCATTCTGTAGGCTGCTTGATGCTATTGTTATGGCTGATTACACTACTTTAGCCAAGGTGACATAATTATTCTCATCAGTTATTCTTCCTGCTAGGCCAAGACTGAGACTGCCTAAGGATTATAAATAATACTATAAGCCAGGGCAAAAAGAACCAGGGCCTGGGCCAAATAGGCAGTAACTTCTCATCATCAGTAAATTGAATAGTTAGGATCTTGCAACACACTCAAAATCCAAAAGCCAGACCCTCCTGGAAGACATCTCCGAGAAGTAGTCATTTCCTAAGGGTTCTCAATACTAACAAGAAAGCGACCTGCCAGAAGTACTTTACAAGCACCAACCGAGGAATTACACTAAAGAAAAGTAGAATGTGAGAAGACACGTGAGCAAGATGCAACCCGGACTTACAGCTCACCAAAGGCAAAGCAGGGGCAGACAATGAGCTTGAATGATCCGAACGCCACCCCTGAGCTCTCTGGAGTGGTAACAGCGGAAGTAACAAAGCAGATGAATGGGGCTCTAGAAAGAAACAGATCAGAAATAATCTGTCAAATAACTACAGAGATGGTGAGCATAATTAAAGACATGGTCAGTGACTCTAGAACAGATACAGATTTTTTAAAACAGAGGAGCTGAGGAAAATGATGGAAACCACGAACACCCAAATTAGGAAAGAAATGGAATCCATGAAACAGATTCAGATATCTAGGAGGATGAGCAGATGAGCCAATGTGAGGACAGAATATCAGATCTAGAAGGCAGGATTGCAGTTAGCGATCATGAAAAGAAAGAGTTCTTAAAAACAGCAAGGAATATGAAAAACCAATCCAGCAGCTGTTAGATGTTGCAAAGAAGAATAGCATAAGATTGATCATAGTCAATGAAAAAGCAGGAGACAGTGCCAATGACATTAAAAAAAAAAACTGTTCAGACATAATGGTAGAAAATATCCCAAGCATGGAAAAAAGAATTTGACATACAGAACTCCAACTAGCCATGATAAAAGAATATCTACACTAAGGCATATAATAGTCAAGATTCCAGATATTCAACACAAGAACAGACTGTTAAAAGCTGTTAGAGAAAAGAAACAAATCACATATAAAGGAAAGCCCATCAAAATCACAGCAGACTTCTCAACAAAAACGTGGAAGTCAAGGACAGTTTGGAGTAAAGTATTTCAATCCCTAAAAGACAACAATCTCCAACCCAGAATGATGTACTTTGCAAAACTATCCTTCAAAATTGACGGGGAGCCGGGCGTGGTGGTACATGCCTATAATCCCAGCACTTGGGAGGCTGAGGCAGGAGGATCGCTGTGAGTTCGAGACCAGCCTGGGCTACATAGTGAGTTCCAGGTCAGTTTCAACTGTATAGTGAGACCCTGTCTCAAAACACCCCCCCAAAAAAAATTGATGGGGAAATAAGATTTCCGTGATGAAAAACACCTGAAGAAATTCATGACCATCAAACCAGCACTCCAAATGTTTTAAAGGGTGTTCTAGAAAGAGCTAATGAGTACTACAACTCATGAACCCCAAAGGAATGAGTTCACCAGGCAAAGCAAGTAATTCAATGTGGGGAGGGGGACAGGAAAATAATACGACAAGGATAAATCAATACATATCAGTTACGACTATCGGTGTACATGGTCTCAATTCACCAATCAAAAGAAATAGACTGGCAGAATGGATCAGAAAGCAAGATCCAATAATATGCTACACACAAGAAACTTTTAATTAAAAGAGAAATTCATAGAGTGAAAGTCAAAGGTTTGGAAACAATACTTTATGTGACAGGAACCCAGAAAAAAATTAGGAGTAGCTATTTTATTTGCAGATAAAGTGTATTTCAAACCAAGGCTGATCAAGAGAGAAAAGGAAGGTCATCACATCCTTGTTAAGGGAACAATCCAAGAGGAAAAAACAACAATCATAAATATATATGCACCAAATACTGGTGTAGCAAGCTATATACAACACATATTAATGGACGTGAAAAATCAAGTAAGCACTAATATAATTGGAACGGGGGACTCAATGCCCCATTGTCACAAACAGACAGATCAACTAGAAAAAAAATCAACAAAAGAATATCAGAACTGAACCAAACTTTTGAACAAATAGACTTATAGATGTCTATAGAGTGCTCCACCCCAGAACATCAGGATCTACATTCTTCTCCTCAGCTGTACATGTATTCTCCAAAATAGACCACATACTAGCTCATAGAACAAGCTTATGTAAATGAAAAGGAACTGAAGTTATCCTATTCATACTATCAGATCATAGTGCAGTGAAATTGGAAACGAAGGCAAAAGCAAACAAAAATTTCATAAACACGTGGAAATTAAATAACACCCTCCTGAACAACCAATGGATTCCAGAAGAAATTAGGCAGTTTCTACAGTTAAACAATAATGCCAGTACAACATACTGGAACCTCTGAGGTGCAATGCAAGCAGTCCTATGAGGGAAATTTACAGTGGTGAATTTCCATATCAGAAAAAGACAGCAAGCACAAATACACAAGTGAATGTTGAACCTCAAACTTCTAGAAAAAGAAAAGCAAGTCAAGCCCAAAGCTCGTATGAGGGAGGAAATAATAAAAATCAGAGCAGAAATTAATAATGCCA